GAAATAATAATAGCTTTTGAATGCTGAGAACTTAGTTTTCGAAGAGCCGATGTAATAGACAGGAATTCTACGAGATAAATTGGCGTGAAGTCAGGCAATTTAAGCACAAAAGATCTATTAAGCTGATGAGAAAAAGTACATACCGCAGCTTTCTGAAGATTTCGCATTGCATCCGTTGAAATAACTACAAAATTAGGAAACTGAGTGAGATGGTCTTGAAGGAAGCCCTCCATAGCAGGCTTTGGAAGTAACTTAGCGTTTTTTGAAAAAATATCATCGAAAACTACGTCAACTGGCACTGAGAATACAGTTGGGGAGTTAAATGCTGGTGGGAAACGTGAAATTTTGATAACAGAGACTCGACGAAAATCACTTGGGGTCCTTGATAACGACACCACGGGCGCTTAAAAAAAGAAACTGGATATTTGATGAAACTTGTCTGCGAACGGGAGAGGGGCGCATTGTAGTTTCAAAATGTTTGCACGGTAAGCTGTCGAAATCTTGTATCAAGTGGAAGGATTCGAGCTCCGAAACAAACCACGCTATTCGCAACACACCTAGGTAGCCCGTGACACAGCCGCCGAGCTTGCCTTTCTAGCAATCTAAGAGGTCTTAAATTGTACTCAGCACTTGTGGAAAACAAAACGATACTGAACTCCAGAATTTGGCGTACGTAAAGTTTGTATATCATAACTAACGTATATGTGCATCCCTGAATTCTTATTGCAAAACCGGCGTAGGCATTCTCAGGCACTTTCTGCTTTATGGGTGTTTGATTTTATTTGTTAGAATGTGTGTGTTTATGATTTCTCATGATTAGATTCTATTTCGTTTGTGGATATGGCCCAAATTGTTTTCCTTTACTATTTATTTTCTGTTCTCTTTACCAACTTTCTTTTTTTGTTTTTATCTGTTTTTTGAAGCAATTGCAAATTTTATTTTCAATTTTGTACTCTCTCTCTCTTTACTTCTCCCTTGCTTCTTCTTGCAGTTTTTATGTGGGGTCTTTTGTATCGTATTTCGCTAGCCATAACAGTTGTGTCAACACTTTATATATCTATGAAGACGGCAAAGAAAGTAAAAAAAATGGCCTTCTGTTCGGTGCGAGCGCATTCTCATTATCCTACCGTTGGCTATGCTATTTGTAGTTTAGCCTGCGTTTTTGTAACGTTCAAGACTCGATTAAGAAACAAAGGCGGGCTAAAATCCCCATACAGGCTCCCGAATAACAAGGAAAAGAATATTTGTCTCTGGCTCGGGCGCGCTCGTAAACTACAGCCGGGTACATAATATGTGGTTCTGCCTGCATTACGACAAGCGACGACGACAGGGTACGACATCGTTCCCCGTTAAAGTGCTCGGTGCCTGAATACTCGAGTATTTGTGTATGCGGAAGACAGAACTTTGACATGCTTGATACACTGCCAGATCCAAAACCTAACTTCAGAGAGTTATGAATTCAGAACGCCCACAAATCTTTCTGTTTGAAAAATGATAGCAACAAATAAAGAGAATAACGGGAGCCGTTTAACTCTTGTAAACCTGTTTATTACTAGCTAAACGTGTTGTTGGTTTCGCTTTCCAAAAACTTGTGGCGAAAGTGTATCAAAGCAGAGGTAGACAGAAAATTAGGAGGGAAGAAAGAAAGAAGCGTGCAGGTATAACGCCGCAGCAGAAAGCACAGGACCGCACAGGCATTTGTCCTGCAGTGTGAGTAGTTAGACTGTTCATGATGATTATTTGACTGAACCGGTAGACCAGCCTGTAAACCGAATGCTCAACTACAGCAAGCAATGCACGCGGTGCGCTGATGGCAGCCAACAGTGTGTCGGCCATCAATAATATGATCTGCGACAACGCGCATTGCATTTATACAAGTGAAGTCGAATATAAGAGCGTTATCGCTGTTAGCAGAGTTTCTTCGAGGATAAATACATTTGCTCGCGTTCGCGTATTCAAGCCTAACAGAATATCAGAGCGTTATGTACAATTCTGTCAGACATTCTAGCGCGGATCGCGCAAGGCGGTATCTACACGTGCGATACGCCAAAACACGAAACACAGTAAAGAGCTTCTGTGGTACCCTTACTGACTTTATTTTTATAGAGAGTGAAGCTGCGTAGGATTTACATAATACGTGCGGCAAACTAGTTTCATTATAAACGGAGAAGTGCCACAGAAAGTTGGTAAGTCTTAGTACAAGGCCATGGTCCACAGAAAAGGAAGAAGTCAACAGTGAGCCCAACAAATATTTTCTTCGAACGAGCGCATACTAACTAACTGAAAAAGCAACGGTGACTGCGAGAAGACTCTATAGGCTTACGCTAACGACGACTTGTCCGTAGATCTATGAGACACGCGAACCTTCCCTTCCGGCGCGAGGTTCTATTTCTGCAGTTTTGACACCCTTGACATATTTGCGATGGTGAGTTTTAACTGGAAAACCTCTACGCGGAGAATCCACATGGAGGGAATCTCCCATCAATAAGCTAAAACCTCGCAACGACCAGGCAAACATAATATGCTTGAAAATCACGCAGTGTGGTTGTTTCAAGCCTTCCCCAATCTAGTGCTAGCTTCGACTTATATTTACTTGCACTTCATCACTAATTGCCCATAACTGTCAGTACAATTACTAAGTTTCCTAAGTCATGATCTCTCGAAAACGTCTATGATGACACATGTGAGGGTGAAATGGCATTTCTAATAAATGAATAATTATCATAGATGTGTATATATTCTTATTACTACCTACATGTAAGTATTACTAATATTCGGCTTATTTGTATTGTGTACTGACAGCATTCGCTCCTACATCTCAATTATGTTGAATGTATTGTTGCCATGCAATGTCATGCCCTGTGTGCCAGGTCAAACTGTGAAGAACATTTTTGATTGTACTCTGCTTCACATTAAGAAGCAACGCTCATAGTAAATATAAATATCTTCTATATGAACCTTACTTCACTACTGTTCTTAAAAAAAGTGGACAGCTTGCCATGGCGGAGTAAGGCTTGATTCAAAAATGGAGCTTGTGCTCCCCTAGCTTACAGGTTTTCCGCGCTTAAGCTAAACCGTATGACTAGGTTGTGGCAATTTATCAGCGAAGTACCACGCGACCAGGCAAAGCACACGCATACTTGATGCATTCGTACAGTAATCAGCTTTTATTTCTTTAGAATCGGTGTGCTTGATGAAAGCCTACTTAGGCGTGCCTTGTGAACTTATGAGTATTAAAGATTTATTTATTTGTATTGGGGTATTTACAGTAAGAAATTATGATTGCTTCATTATATTAGGATTGATGGGTTCACCTAATTTGAAACGACTTAGGGTTAGATAAACTAAACTTGAAGTCGCTCGGTGTTGTCATTAAAATAGTCTCCTGTCCTCAACAAGCACGGCAAAAGGAAACACTCAAATTACCTCCAAAATAAATGTTATTTTAGTTAGAATACAGATGCCCAAACTACCTATTAGCAAAACAGTTCAAACGTATTCAGCCACTCTCTCTTCCCTCACTTCATACTTTAGAACAATATCATAGAATTATTTATTGGTTGTCTATCCACTTTTGACAATTGCGGATAGCAATAATTAATAAACAGTAATCGTCATGTCTTCCATACCTTTCACTTGAATTCTCAATCAGTACAGTGAAAAGGCTTTCAAACCATTATAATTCAAATGCGCCATTTTTCAGTAAATCTCAGTGTTGAAGGTCTGAGAGCATTTGTCGGTTTTAGTATATTTATATACAAATTTTAATATAAGTACAAATCAATAATTAAAAAGTCAGAGCTCTTGTGTTATTACTTCATTTGTCTCCATTTTCATGCGAAAAATTACAACTTGGTATTTAAAATATTTCATTATTATTTTCCCCGTGTACAGGAAACCACGAATACATTACTAATTCTAGAGAGCAATTTCAATCTTTTTATACCTTTAATAAATGAATAGCTACTACAATCACTACTGCTATTCACTTACATGCGACGATAATCAAGCAATCATTGTGTGCAGATCAATACTTTGTATAAATTTAACTTTAATGTGTCCGACTATGCCGACAGCTTTTGCACATGTTTTAGATAATATATATTAAATAGTGCCATTGACTACCTCTACCTAAAATAGATAACTTCGTATATATATTAAAATGTTCTGTTGATTGTTACTTCCCACTATTATTTACAAAAAGCTTATTTTTCTGTGATTGTTTACTGTGATGAACTGAAGCATGTGATTTATAACCATCTACGTGAAATCCACACAGTATTTTACCTTGCGTGTATGAGTGGATTCGCGGATAACAACCTTCTAATAAAGAGCTGCAAGACTTTTGCCTTTAGAGGTAACGAAAAGCACTGTGAAGTGCGGGTGCCCCTGTAAGGGAGTTTCATTGCAAAATTTCTTTTACTAAAGTACCCGTGGAACCTCTGGAACTTTCGAGGCATCATTGAAACTTCACAGATACGAAGACGAAGTCGTCGATTGTAGTTTTCTAATTGTAGTGATGTCACAGATGAACACGCATATTTGTTTTTGAAAGCTTTAAATTCTCTCCTATGGGGTCTTCTATAGCACAAAAATGTTGTTTTCGCACACGGACACTTATTGAAATAAAGATAACTGTCTGTCACTGTGACGTAACTATGCCAAGAATACATTTGCGGAGTAAATTAAGCTTATGTGAGATGTTGCGCTGCAATAAATGTTTTAAAGTCATTTCCTCTTGAATGACGCCGTCAATCAGCGGCCAACCCAACGTATGACGCTAGTTGTCGATGGCTAGAATTGCTGGAAATCACAGATTCTGTGATATTCAGGAAGGCGAATTAAAGCTAGACCAACAACCTTATGTACAACATTTCTACAAATTTCTCTAATGATCCTAGTAAATCATTTAAGGTCCACAAAAGTCAACATAAAACAGGCTATCTGACTGGCTGTGAACATAATTATGTAGATGTGTTTAAAAAGTGTCGAGTATAATGTCACTGGTAGAAAAAGCCAGTTCTCTGTCTTGCTAGGCGTGTCTGCTTCCAGCGTAACTCCTTCGTAAATTCAATCTCAGAGAGAGCGAGGCGGTGACAGGTGTCGTCATTGTCCATGCTTTCTCGCAGCTTGTGCGCCACTACCCGACGGCCCGCGGTTGTAGAATCGACGCAGCGCTCCTGCCAGCGCCTGGTGATGGCCTCGATATTGGCAGCTTCTGAGGCAACACGCTTCGCGCCAAGAGCCTGCAGCTGACGCTCAAGGCGGAGGGCAAAATACTCGTAGATACGCGTGTCGGCTGCGTTGAGCGCGGCGATTCGAGCAGCTACCCGCGGTGTCAACGTGGTGCGGTTTTGCAGCGCGTTCTTCCGAAATGCTACGACGCTGCGTAGGCTTGGCAGGCAAAGTTTGTGGCGTAGCAGAACCAGAGACTCGACGAATTGCTCCGCAACCATTACCACGTCGAATGTAGACTCGACCATCGAAATCAGCTCAGCCACCTGCATTCAAAACAACACCATCTGATTCATCCGTTCATTAGGTACCTTAAACTATTTCACGGCCACATGCGGTACCCGGTATGCAACTTAGTGATCACGTTTGCAGGAATTGCCATTAACCAACGTGAACATACGAAAAACTATTAGTGTATTATTCAAGGAAAACGCGCGTTAATTGGTGTCCGTATAGGTTTGAGCAAGAAACTTTCTTTCTGTCAATGTACTCAGAAGCTAGCGATCTTCCCCGTTTGTCTCTATGCCATGGTCTTCTGTTCGCGAAAAATAGCACATGACACATACTTATATTTATTTTTATTATTATTTCGACATACTGCCAATCCCATCAGGGATTTTAGCAGGAAGGGCGTGAACATAAAAATTCGAATAGGTACACAATAAAGACATACATCGCGATAAAGTACAGAATGAAACTAACAGAATCGGATCATTTAACAATTTCAGATCAAAGAAGGCATAAAACATTAGTGTAAAGAGAAGTTGTCAGAAGAAAATAAATGCAGCGACTTGGTTGACACATTGGTTGACATATTGGCATATGCATCAAGAAACACAACAAGAAATCACAGCAATAAGAAACTACCCTACAATATGGCAAAGTATTTCAAGGAAGGGCAAATTTATACACACGGAAAAACAGAAACATGTTCAAGAATCAACAGGGCGATTTCTCTTCACCTGGATTCAGTACTAAAAATTGCTTAAAGAAAAAAAATGATGACATGATACTTCGCTCGTACATTGTTCACACGAACACCCATATTAAAATCAACCAGGTGATTCCGTTTGCATAATACAAAGTTCATTTTCGACAAGGGTTAGAAATTTTGCTAATTCAGTAGTGCTGGAGATACTCGGATCCAGTTTATTCCATTCATTAGTGGCTAACGGAAAGAATGAGTACCTAAAGCAGTTTGTGTTGAAGGAGTATTCGTTAAGTCTCATTGGGTGTTTCTGGCGTGTTTTTCTAGTTTGATCAAACGTAAGATAGGCGGATACTTCAATGTTTAAATGACCATGTATTAATTTATGTATGAATTTTGCACGTGCTAACCTTGTTCTATTCATTAGAGTAAGTAATCCAGCTTTTTTCATTAGTTCAGTCGGAGGATCTGTATGTCTGTACTTGTTGTAGATGAACCTCAAAGCTTTCCTTTGTATTCCTTCCAGTTTCGTGATTTGCTGTTTTGTGAATGGTGACCAAATAATATTACCGTATTCCAGTAATGATCGCACAAGGGAAGTGTATGCAAGCAGTTTTAGAGAAGGCGGGGCCTGGCGAAGCCGGTATCTGAGTGTAAACAAACGGCGTAGTGCAGCTGAAGTAACGTAACTTATGTGTGCATCCCATCTTAGATCTTCAGTTATAATAATTCCAAGATATTTATGCTGACTTACTCTAGTTATGAGAATGTCATTAATGGTGTAAAGAAAATTTGACCTAGTTTTTTTTCGACTTACTGATAAAATTGTACACTTGTTTGCATTAAGTGACATCTGCCATTTACGGCACCAGCAGGAAACATCTTGTAAAGCACTATTTAAAGCTACATGGTCCTCCGTGGAGTTTATATATATATAGAAAGAGCAGAATATATATATATATATATATATATATATATATATATATATATATATATATATATAGTGTGCTATATTACGTGAACAAAAGACCAGGGATAGTATACTAGCCTGAGCCACTTTCTTCTTGGACACAATTTTATCCTCATTTTTTTGGAAGTTTTGTAGGCTAGTAGGCGAAAGAGGTAGATTGAACAGACGTCGACCTTAATGTGCTGACACCATTTAGCGTTTTAATAAATGAATGAATGAATGAATCCTGGTTTTGTCGCCTAACCCAGAAGTCAAAGGTCTTTTCTTCATGCGAATTCATATGCATATCTTGCCGTCTGGCACCTGGTAAAAAAACTGTGAAATTTGCAACGTTTTCACGCATGTAAAGCCACGAAATGATAACGTCGAAGCTTGCGCGAGAAAGAGATAGAGAGAATTATTTTAATGGGAAGCTGGAGAGGTTTGCCAGGTTTTTCACCTGACAGACTGCTCCAGTTGCCGGGTGATGACAACGATATATACAATGATAAGCACACAACACATACAGTTATATACACACATTACACATAAAATCTCTGACCCGCTCTGCACAATTTAATACCGTTACTGCTGTGCGCTGCATTTTATCTCGAAGTGCGAAGAAAATGAAGGTTCTCGTAGAATTTCTATCGTCAAATGCACGGACGCAGTTGTGACACTACACCCATTAGTGACAGAATTCACGCAGTTGAGCTCTGTAGTGTGATATGTTAGTGTGGGCGCAGGCGCTCGACTGACAAGAGATGGAGCGTAGACAAACACACGACGTTTATTGAGATGGGTGTAGATAAATAAATGGGAGACAATATTGTCACGGGGTGTGGCAATGTCTACATGAACTCGTTACACCTGCCAGTACAACAATCTTTATAGGTCAAAAGCTTGCGGCAAACGGTTCTCGCGGCCCCTATACGACGCGTCTAGTCCACGCATTATCCAACGGGCCACTCACACGTCCCTGCCGTCGAGGTGGTCCAACGTGTCGCTGTGTTCAACGTAGTTGCGATCCTACATGTTTGCGATGCTACACCTCAACTTTGCTGGTTCGGTGGCCCACGTAGTTACCTACCCACCTGCAGGTGTCGGCCGTGACCACAAGCACCATCGCCGCTTGCGTCGCTCATGGCGCAAGTTCGAATGCAGTGAACCCACGTAAGGTTGAGTTCCAAAACGGGCTGGTAGACGCCACGGATAGTTGCTCTGTCACTGCTCACTGACTGCCTCGGCCCTACTGCTGATCGAGCGTTCCAAAATCTTCCTCGCGCTCTCCAGGAAAGGCGCCGTCACGCACTACTTATGCACGTAACTTCGTCATCTTCTGTTCTTCGGGAGCATGGTTTTAGATGCCAAACAGCTCTTCAGGTAGTATGTGTAATGCTGTCCGTCCGTGTATTCGTTAGAACGATGTCAAGTTGTTGGACCGATGCCAAGTAGGTCAAGTCGCAGCTGCGCATTGACGTCACTCTCTTCCTCGCCCACAGCAGCTGCCGGCTCCTCTCAACACAGCCACGCGGTGTTGGTCCTCCAACCGCTCGCAAAGCAGTTCTCTTTCACTTCACCCTCTCCACCGCGCGCAATTTTTGACCGCACGTCGAGTGCAAACACTCGTTTGGCTCATTTATCTGCGATGAAACTTACACGAAACCTATCCCACCTCCAGTGTCGTTGCATTTGCACACCGAGTTTTGGTGTGCAAATGTTTCGGTGTTTCGGTGCAAAAGTTTCGGCGTGCAGTTTCGCTTCAAACCGTTCTTCCAGCACCCATGTTGACGCCCGTTTCAGCCGGGTCAACGGCGTGCTTACAGCTCCTGCTTCGCATCCCATCATGGTTCTCTTTTAGATGTTCCACAGTTCTTTAATTAACCCCAACTTACCACAGTACTCTTTGCTCTAATGCCAACACAAGTTGTCTGTAAGTATGGTGTTCCAGATCATCGTTTATGAACCGGTGAGGACGGGTTGATGTCTCAGCCCTAGGAAAGACAAGTTACATTTATAATTTCTCATCCCTGTGAGAGACGATGTTTTTTGAGAGTGAGGATGATATTTAGGAATAGAATCATCAGCGGCACAGACTATTTAAACAAATTCCGCTTGAAAATTTAATGGCGAGAATTGACTCGCTGGTGAAGTCTCAATAAAATATTAATAAATTGAATGTCAATTTTGTGCCACTTCTTTGACCGCTGATTAGAGGAAGACGGCGAACAAGCTGTTAATATCACCAGATGTTGCCACACTTTTCTTCAAAGCTTATACTAGAATAAATACGCGATGGGGTTTGCATAGATCTCAGACTGTCCCATCGGTGTCTCCCGGTTCTGACAAGAATGCAAGTTTACTGTGAATCATCTTTTGTTACCAAGATACCCTGTTTGGGGACCTCAAGTACGTGTTGGTGGGAAGATGCGATGGGTATCCTGAGTGTAGGATAAAGTAGGCATCTCGACGTTCCTCTCAGACACACCCGAGTGAAGAAAATCCGCTTGTTGAATGCTTGTTGCAAGTATTAGGTCGCAGAGTTTTTTTAAGCACTACCTTATCCTTAACCTCACAGACTCTCTTGATGGCTGCACAACGTGCTGTCGAGACTTTGAGCGAAAAGTGCTGAAGTGCCTAGTTTCCCGTTGTGCGTCAAAGCACAACACACAGACAAGAAAGGCGGATGTCCAAACAGTTAATGGCATTCATATGCCGGGTATCACAATGTCATCGGGCAAGTCATGTTGATACGGCCACCAATCATACACACAAATGAGCGAGGATTTATAGCATGACTTTCGTGAGATAATGATGCAATTTTCAATAGAGCTCGACAACCGGCCGCTCTCCAAAAAATTATTTCTGGAAAGCAGGAAAAAATCGAGTTTCACACCAAAAAGCGACGTAGGCCCTCCTGAAGGTTCTGTGATCGACTGACTTTGTCGAACGATTGACATATTCTTGTGTGCGTGCGTGTGTGTGTGTGTGTGTGCGTGTGTGTGTGTGTGTGTGTGTGCGTGTGTGTGTTAGTGTGTGTGTGTGTGCGTGTGTGTGTGTGCGTGCGTGCGTGCGTGTGCCTGCGTGCGTGCGTGTGTGTGTGTGTGTGTGTGTGTGCTCGCTTCCCTCCCACTCTTTTTTCTCATTCCCTTTCCAAACTTTTCTGTCTCCCACTCCCCAGTGTAGGGTAGCAAACCAGATACTTGCTTTCCGGTTTACATCTTCGCCTTTGTTCATACCACATCTATCTCTCTCTCAGTGGAGCTCGACATAAAGCATTTTTGATGCTTCTTGATGCAAGCCTTTCCATGGAATGAAAAAAAAAAGCTATGAATGTACAAATACATAAATGAGGCTCATGAAGTGGCGTCTGCAACTAATAAGCATTA